GAAAAGCGTGACGACTTTGATTACATAACAAATACGCGTGACTGTTTATGACACTCCCCCTAGTTGATCACCTTAGTGTGAGTCAACTATATTCGCTTTGAAAAATAAACTAAGACTATATTTGTTATCGCAAAGTTCGTTGTTTCTAAATGTTCGCGTTATTTACAAGTGTGAGGAAATAAATCTAAATACGGCAACGTTTAAGGTTCTCAGTTCAGTTCAAGAGTTCACCTCAAGAGGAACAACGTGTTGAATGGGTCGTCGCAAGCGCTGAATTGAACTACCATTGGTACTCGTAACTCTAACTGAAACTGCTCGCACCTTTCCATCTCGGCCCGGGTGCAATTCTTCTACTTTCGCAAGCTTCCAGAAGCTTCGCCGAACGCTGTCATTTTTGAGAATAACAATGTCTCCAACCTTGACCCCTGTATCGCCATTGTCTCCCCTTAGCCGTGCGTTCTTGATAGCATGTTCTCTTAAGCTGGTTAAATATTAATTTCGCCATCGACGAGTGAATTGTCCCAACAGATGTCTATGATGTTTAAGTCGCTTCGTCAGAGAATCGTAGGTGCTAGTGATTTCGAAATGTTGACTGTTCGGAGTTGTAGTAACTCTTCGACCATAAATCAGATCCGATGGCGTTAAGGGATACGAGATCGATTCCTCGTCGTCATACACATAAGTCAGCGGCCTTGCGTTGATCAGCCCTTCTATTTCCGTTAACAGAGTACTTAGCTCCTCGTGGGTGAGGGTAGATTTTCCGATGGTTTTTTGGATAGGAGACTTTACGCTGCGAACAAGCCTTTCCCAGTAGCCTCCCCACCACGGCGCCTTTTCCACAATGAAATTCCAACTGATTTGATTGTTGGTTAAATATCGCCAAACTTCCGGTGACCGTACTAATTTGCGAATATCCTTGCTTGATGATTTGAAAGTTTTTGCATTGTCCGATTGAAGATTAGCCGGGAGTCCTCTTCTACTGGTGAATCTTCTGAAAGCAAGCAGGAAATCTTGGACACCGAGTCCACGAGTCAACTCTAAGTGCACTGCACGGGTTGAAGCGCATCAGTGTAAATAAACACACGTAAACTTTGACACATTCAGCGTCGTTGACGTTTTCCTTTACGTAAAATGGCCCAGCGAAGTCGATTCCAACATTAGTAAAAGGTGGATCGTCTGAGACTCGGTTGGTTGGAAGATCAGCGAACGGTGGAGGTTTGCATGGTGCTGCATAGAACCGTCGGCAGACAACGCAATGTTGAATGATTTTCTTGACTGTCTCGCGACCGCGTAGAATCCAGAAACGTTCTCGTAAGTTCGTAAGCGTGTCCCTTATCCCAGAATGCTTGACTAAATCGTGAATATTCCTAATAGTGAGATTGGTGAAAGCGTGTTTGGCAGGCAAAAGTATCGGGGTTCTGGCAGAAGACGATAGGGAAGCATTTGCGATCCGTCCTTTGCATCTGATAATTCCATCGTCGTCGAGAAACAGTCCCAACTGCGGAACACGTATAGGTGGCGTTGATTTCGAATCCTTTCGAGTCAGAAAAGAAAGTTCATCGGTAAAAGACGATGCTTGAACCGAGTGTATCCACAGATTCTCGGCGTCCTTCAATTCGGTGGTTGTTAAATCTTCCATTTCTTCTTTCCGGTTTTCAAGTGTTCGGTTTTTGAGCTTGTTGATGAACTTGATCACAAACGCGGTTACTCGAATTAATTTCGTCCTGTCGCTGAACCGTCCAATGTCGATTATCTGGTCAACTTTCGGGTTGAATTTGTCGCAGGCAGTGGTAATAAGGGAATGTGTTACATCTGGTACGTTCTTGACGGCTTCCTGTAAAATTTGTTCTTTGTTCACTTGTTCCGATGGAGAAGTTTCGGGCCATTCATTCTCGGATTGATACAAAAAACTCGGACCATTCCACCACGTATTGCTGGCAGAAAGTTCTTTCGCTGATAGTCCCCGCGATGGTAGATCGGCAGGATTTAATTCTCCTGGACAGTGCCTCCATAAATCTTTGGGAGTTAGACGTCGAATTTCTTCTACTCTTTGACCGATGTACTGCTTCCACACTCTTTCATTTTTGATCCAGCATAGAGCAGTTGTAGAATCACTCCAGAGAACGGTTGTGTATTCAGCTCCAATCGACTTTAACTTGTTAACAAGTCGGGCCAAAATTAATGCTCCTAGTAATTCCAATCGAGGAATTGTCTGTGCCTTGATAGGAGCGACTCTCGATTTTGAAGCGACCAATTTAACTTCGATTCGACCATCACTGTACGTGTTTCGAATATAAACCACCGCGGCGTAGGCGCGTTCTGAAGCATCACTGAAGCCATGTATCTGAGAGGTTACAGGTTGTCGCGAAAAATAGCATCGAGGAATACGATAGCCGCCAATGAACTTAAGATCTTGGAGAAACGATTTCCATCGGTGAAGCAAAGTTCCTTGTAATTCTTCGTCCCAGTTTGTTTTGTTGATACAAAGTTCTTGAAACAAGATCTTCATCTCTATTGTTAGAGGCGTCAAAAATCCCATGGGGTCGAAGATCTTGGCCGTAACCTTGAGAACAGATCGCTTGGTCAGGGGAAGTGCTTGTGCAAATGGGCACAGATCGGAGAAATTGAAGAAAATTTCGTCTGTGAGAGTGTTCCAGTTCATTCCTAGAATTTTAACTACTGCATCTTCGATGTCAGAAGTCGTTGAGTCACAACCAACACTCGATTTCGCGAATGATTCGTCATCTTCTTTGTTGACATTAGTGACCTCCTGTTGTGTGTTTGCTGATCCTGGTGAACTTTCAAGTTTCGTAATTTGCATTTGTAGTTTTCGCGAGTTCGATCGCCATTTTCTGAGATTGAATCCTCCACTGGACATAACCTTCTTGCATCTCTTGTAAACAGAGAGACCTCTTTCTTCGTCTGACTCCCCCGTTAACAGGTCGTCCACGTACAGAGATTGTTCCAATAATTCAGCGATTTCGGGGTCACTCTGTTTGTGTAGTTGTAAGTGATGTAGAATTGTCGCTCCCAAAATAGCAGGCGAGGGGCGTAACCCAAACACGAGCCGTGTGAACCTGTATTGTACAATTTCAGGCTTAACGCAATCTGGGTTTCTTAACCATAAGAATCGAAGAAAGTCTCGATGATCCTCTTGGATTCCCACCATAAGGAAGGCCTTTTCAATGTCAGCTGTGATACCGACAGGATTCTTCCGAAAGCGCGCTAGCATATTGAAAACATGTGGGATGTGATTTGGCCCAGTTTCAAGGCAATCGTTGAGTGACTTCTCTTGGTTACCAGATTTTGCTGACCCATCGTACACAATTCGTACCTTCGTAGTCTCACGATCCTTTCTTACTACTGCATGATGAGGCAAATAATGATGTCGCGCAGCAATTTTCTCTTTATTCGGTACTTGCTCGATTATCCCCTTTGATAACTGATCTTGAATGATGTTGTCGTATTCGGCTAATAACTCTGGGTCTTTGCGCAGCTTGTGATGTAAGGACCTTAATCGCGATTCGCACAACAGATAGTTGTTGGAGGATAGCGGCAAACAATTTTCTTTCCACGGTAAATTGACTTCGTATCGGTCTTCGCTCCATGCAACGTCGATTTTGAAAGATTCCTTCGTTTCCTGTTGAGTCAGATCCTTAATGCCAATTGCCTCAGTCTCCCAAAAGTTCTTCAGAGTGTTCGTGAGAACGTCGTCTTCGTTTCGGGCAAATAGGTCGTCATGGCCTTCGATTATTAAATTTGAATGCGTAACATAACTCCGATCGAGTGTTCCTTTAACTGGTCCAGACAGCAGCCACCCGAGTTTGCTATTTACAGCAATGGGACCTTCGTCTCCTCGTCTTGTCTCCCCCGTTACAAAATGCCAGTAATAATCGCAGCCGATCAGAATATCAATCGAACCTTCGGCGTCAAACGGTTCATCCGCTAGCTCCAATCCATCCAAATGCGGGTAGTTTACAGAGACCTTGCCAGGTAAAGGCGAACAAATAACCGGAAATGTCAGAGCAGAAATTTTAATGGCATCTTCGCATCCAGACCTTCGTACTTGTAATTTCACAACATCGCAATTCTGCTTCTTGTACTTTGCTTCTCCAAATGTGTTCAAGTTGAGTCGTTCAGTTTGAAGTGATTTCAGATGAAGTGTTGCTCGTAAATTCTCAGTGATGTAAGAGCGCTGACTTCCACTGTCGAAAAGTAATCTCACCACGGTCGATCTAGTCCCATCTTCGTTTGTCGCTACAGCCTTAGCTGTTTGAAGTAACACTCTGCAATTCGGTTTTGAACTCTCGCGATTTGTCGTAGTTGCTGTTGTGATGCCAGTATTCTCTCTTTCGTTGATCGTCTGGTCCCTAGGTCTTTCTTGTGTAGATCGGTCGGAATTGAGGGGACGTTCTGTATTCTGCGCGTTGTTGTTGTTGTTGTTGTTGGAGGAGTTCGCGTTTCGTGGACAAATCGATTGATGGTGTCTCTTGTCGCATCTTCTGCAAGTTTTCTGGCATTGATCCTGTTGATGTCCCTTTCGAAGGCACATGAAACATCTTTTGTCCCGAGCAAGGATGGTTCTGCGAGCGTTTAATTCGGTGACCGTTTCGCACGAAGCTGAGAAATGTTTCCCAGAACAGTAAACACAAGTCGGCGCAAACTGTTGGGTTTGTGAATCAGCAAGATAGGCACCAGAAGTACCGGGTGGAATAGTGGGTGGCAAAACCTTCGATTTATCAGGAACAAAATGTGGAGGAGGCTGTCGTTTTGATTCTAAAGGTGGGACGGTTTTAACTCTTTCGCTCATCTCTCTCGCTTCGATTTCGCGTTGTAATAGGTCGAGTAGCGGTTCGATTTCCCAGACATCTTGACTAGTGTTGCGAGCGACGTGAATTCGTATATCGGGAGGAAGTTTCGACATAATTACCGGAATGAGAAGACTTCCATATTGTGCAGATTTGATGCCCAGGGCTTCTAAGCCTCTTACGTTTACGCTGATTTTGTCATACAAATAACGGAGTTGAGAAGGCCTTTCTGAAGAACATACGGAGATTTTCAAAAGTTCGTCCATGTGAGAAGCGATGATTTGTTGTGGTTTTCCGAATCGTTTCATCAAAATGTCCACAGCCGCTTGATAGTTGTCTTCGGTAATCGGTAACCCTGCAATGGCGCGTGACGCTGCTCCCTCGAGTTGAGCTACTAGATAATTGAACTTTGCGATTTTCGATAAATTCGGGTTCGAATGGACGGCACTTTCGAATGTATCCCAGAACGGCTTGAACTGAGTCACTTCGCCTCTAAATTTCGGTAGGGTGAGCTTTGGTAGTTTAGATGTCGATGCATTTGTTGTAGGAGGTGTACCACTATGTTGGGAAGTTTGATTCGGCGAAGGAGGAGCTGAAGAAGCTGGAGGAGATCCCGTTGTTTGTATGGCTTGAGTCGAAGGAGGCGTCGATAGTGAACCGGTCGGAATAGAAGGGTTGTTTTCTGTAAATTGTGCCGCGGATCCACCGGTTGTCGTGTAAGTTTTACTCGTATTCGAGGGCGTTGTCGTGAGGGAAATATTCGCAAGAGCGTCCATTACTCGCATTTTCAATGTTTCGGCTTCGTCAATTTCCTTTTCGATTTCCTCCACTTTACAGACGGATACGATTTTTTCGTCTAGATCTGAGACCAGTTTCGATTTTTCCTTTAACATTTCTTCGATTCTCGTTAACTTGTTTTTCGTTTTGATATCCAATTCGGAGGTCGCATTTTCCAAGATTGTATCGGCTTCGCCGATGAGCTTCGTTATGACTCCTCTGTTGGCCCCGCGAGTTGCTCTTAGTCGTGGTAGATCTCCTTCTGACATCTTTTCTTCAGGTCGTGATTTCGAGCCCCACGTTGGGCGCCATATTATAAACACGAAGTAGTCGTAATCGTTTTCGTATAAATTCTGATTTATTCCACTCTGATATCGTACAGAAAGAACCTTTCGAGTTAAATCACACGCCCCTAATATACACTAAATTTGATATCCTACAATTGTTGTCATGTGCTCTCTTTGTACAAACAAAACGAAAAGCGTGACGACTTTGATTACATAACAAATACGCGTGACTGTTTATGACACAGGGTTTTTATGTTGTCGACGTTCGCTCCAACACCATTCAGTTGTCTTAAGATGCTTTCCCACGCCTCCTGTTTCGCCTTTTTCGTTACAGTCGAGGAAAATGGAGCCAAAACAACTGATTTGTTATCCCTCACAAGCTGCGCTAATAGCAATTTCTGGGATTTCGACAACATGCTGAAACGACAGGGAAAAAATCGACGCGGTCTACGAAATAAATTTTCCGCTCTGAGCTGAAATAATTTGCACTTGTAGTTTACATATCCACTCAGTGCTATTTACAATTGTACGGTTACAATTGTAATTAACACTTGTAGTAAGACTGCTTGTACACGTGTAAATTCCAGTGTTTGAATTTTTTTTATTGAATTCTTGTATTTACAAGTCGGACTTTACATGCGTTTTTTACAACTGTAGAATCTACAAGTGTAATTTCTTTATTGAACTGACCCCAGAACATGTGGAAGCCACACAATAAAATATAACATTCCAACATAAGATCAGCTAAAACACCAAATATTCTGCCAAAGCACTCCTCTTATCTTAATACTGTTCCACCTAATGAAACACATGGCAAAATTAACATTATTTTATATTTTCATTTTATTTTACACCTTTTCTTCGCGTTCAAAATTGCACACTAAAGATGTTTAATCTTGTTCACCTTTTCTTTAAGCCAGGGCTTCCTGTATTGTTCGCGTCCATTGCGGAAGTAACAAGAACAACCACTGGAAAAAAGTTGCATCGATTTTATTGAATCAACTGCTCAACTTGCTCATGCTGTTTACTAAAACACGATGAGTTGCGAAAGTTTATCGTTCTGAGAGTTGTCAGAGTACCTTTAAAAGAAGAAAAACTGTGTAAGAGAAGAACCCGTAGATCGAAAAAAATAACTGAGTAGCCTGATGTTAAGTCTTTGTTGCGCTCACATCCGTCGAAGAACCAGCCTCTTGTAGCAGAGAACTTTTGACTAAACGCCCAGAAAAAACTACGGTGGAAAACGCCTATCCTGGAAATTATTTTTCAATAATTCTATGAGATCCTCTTACTATTTTAACCGGTTTAATGAACGCAAATCCAAGGCGTTTTGATCGGGGCGGGAAAACCAGCGAAATGCCGTCCTATTCATGTTGGGAGACCGGCAACGCCATCACTGGAAGTCGTACTAGACTCGTTTCCAGACTATTCCGCGCGCTCTCCCGTTCTGAAATGATGTTCCCGTCCTCTTAGCAGAGAGGCATTTTGCTGCATATGCGCCAGTAGAATTTTGTCCGGCGCGTTCGGCGCCATTGTGATACTTTCAGCGCGCTTCTGCGGGTTTTTAACTGGGCGATCTACACTTTTTTGTAAAATGTTTTGGAGAGGAATGAAAGAAAATGACAAGTATGCCAATATTTCTAACTCTGTGGATACTCGTGGTGTTTGCTGGCCCCTCTGATGAGGATATTTTAATGATCAAAGTGCAAACAAAACACGAAAAAAGCCCGAAAACTTGAAGTTTGAGATTTGATTTACTGAAGATCAAGATGTGCAGATGCGATAGCAAAACTTGAATGTTAGTCTTAAGATGTTGATGTTTTACTCGTAAAAATCACAAAGTTGTGTGTGAAGACGATCGTGAGATATTTGGTCCGATGAAAGAAGTTAATTTAGAACGTGATTTTACTTTACTTCGACTTTGAAATAAAATTGCGTTAAGTTCGAGGTGGCCCCCAAGCTTAAAATCACTTCAAATAACATCGTCTTTTCTTTCTCTTTGTAGTCACATTGGACACAAGGCTTTAAAAAATGTTCCAGCTTCAGGATTGAGTTACTTTTCGGCGAATTCGTTTTTGGGAGGTTGAGGTGGATTTTCCAAGTCATGGCTCACAACTGTCTTTGGCCCTTTTGCTCTCCAAGTCTGTTAAACATGGTAGGGAGGCATGTGTCTTAGCACCGGTTATAGTTATAGTTATACTCCGGCTTAAGCTTATTTTTTCCTGAGTTTTAATCGGAATTTTTCCATCGCCTTTTTGGGGTTCAGGTGCTGTATGGAAAAACTTCGATAGAACTTATTTATCTCACTGGTTGAAATCCACCAATAGAGTTGGTCATAACTAAAACAGTAACAGGATCGTAACCATTTATGGTAAGCTGTTGAAATTGGCAAGAGGCAAGTATATGACCTTACGTACCAAGCAACAAGTAAAGTTGATCATATTTGTTTATTCTTATTTAATAATTTACAAATACTATCATTTTTAAACCTTTCTTCTGCCCCCTCCAATTTAAAGCACAAAATATCAATTGAGCTTCATATTTTTGTTGGGGGACATTGTTGGCAGTGCGACATGGGTTAGAACACTCGTGTTGTAGCTGTTGTTTGAGGAGAATAGACTCTGTCCTGGACTCTGAGAGATTTTTATAAACATGGAGGACAATGCTTGAGCACATCTCACTTTTAGTAACCGAAGTTGGTTGTGAGAGAAAGAAAACTGTTTAAGTGTGGTGAAAAATGACCTGTAGTGTGATTGTTTATCCTTTTACTGGAAAATGTGCTTTGCTTTCTTACTAAGTTCATCAGGAGAAGCAGAACCTTTTGTCTGTGAACGGAGTATGCTATGAGTCTTTTCCATGGGATATTCATCAAAAATGGCAATGTAATTCCTTGGTGGATTATACAGTTGTGGAGCATGTTTTCCCCAGTGAGAGCACATGTTGATCCAAA